ACAATTAATTTCAAACATTCCTTTCAAATCTATAATCCACCAGACGATGCAATATAAAAATCCTATTTTATCGAATATAGCAGTTCAATTAGGAAAGATAGCTACCATTTTCAATTTAAGCCATCCTAACCTTTACGCATTTAAAGGACGTTTATTTATGTTAAATAAAAAACTAGTTTTCTTATCATAGTGTGTCTTTTTCAAAAATATAAATTAAAGGACATCTTTCCCCAGCTCCAATGCCCTAATTAAATTAAAAAAATTTATATATTAAATAATGGTTTATTTATTTTTACATTAGACTAGTATAATTTGTTAACCTGAATATCTTGTTTGATGAACCAAAATGTATTCTTATTGCCTTAAGGAGGAGATACTTTTATTCTAAAAGAAATTACTAAATATTTAAAGAAGTTATTTTGCTATATTTAGATAGAGCACATCTAAATGCAAAATTTTTTCTTTTAATAATGGAATAGGGCGGAAATATTTAAATGTGAATGATTCAAATCTTTCAAAGATTCAACCATAACCACTCACAATAATCAGGTTGGAGTTGTTTAGATGAAGTTCAGAACAAGGGATGAAAAATTTTAGGAGAGCAAAAGTTACTAAAGCAATTTAAATCACTCATATTCAAAGTCAAAAAAATTAACCTTCTTTGGAGCCATCAGTATATGATTGCTTGAGGGATACATTAGAGAAAGGATTCAAAGAAAATTATTCTAAATTTGTAGAATTATAATTGATGGTTAACTAATTATATCGTTAAAATGATGATATTTATTTATTAAATTTTATTATTTAAAATATTTGAAAAAATAATCATATGATTTATTAATATTTTTATATCAAATAATTTTAATTAACAAATTTATTCTTGAAAATCAAACCTTTTTATTTATAAGTAGTTTGAAACATCATAGACATATTTGAATAACCCTTCTTCGTTTCTCATGTTGTCCTTCTATACAGTTTTCGCAAGATCATATTCCTTTTAACCTGTTAAAGACTAACTTTCATACACTTTCTTAACTTGGTTCTCTATGATTCACTATCTTGCAAAACATTACATTTTTCTTGTAATTTATAGAAATTATATTATATTAAGTACAATTAACATTATTATCAAAATTCTTATTTAAGTTAGTAATTTTTTCTCATCAAAATGAGATAGTAATTCTAAATAATTAATTTATCAAATTATGATATATATATAGGGTTATAATGAATCTTCATTTGCAAATATTTCTAAATCATATTAATATTATTATTGACTTAAGTAGATAAATTTCAAAATTATAGGAAACAATAACTGAATTAAGATTAACATTTTTTGATCATATAAGAATGCTAATGTATCTAACTTTTTATCCATTTATTGTTATTATTTAAATTAATAATTATATAAATTATTGTTATTTATTTCATTAAAAATTATTTAATAGGAGAAATGATATTTGATTAGATTGAGAAATGAATTATGATTCATTTCATCAAATAGTTCCAAATGAACTAACCTTAACACTCTTTCATTAATTCAATAGAATGTCTATAATTACCCAAATTGTCATCCTTTCCATTTATAAAAAGTGTTGGACAAACTACTTTATTTATCTTTTCCATATTCCTAAATCTTTCTGTCACTAATTTTAATATAATAAAATATTTAGACATCATTACTTTACCCTAAAAATACTTTTCTCCTTTATAAAATCACATATTGATGTAAAAGCACTTCTTAAAATGACTGATTTGATCTTTTTATATTTTATACTCATCTCTATAGATACACTACACTCAATTAATCTTCCAATAATTATAATCTATTCCTTTTTAATTTTCAATACTTTAAAAATATGTTCCATTACTTAATAAAAATAATTGTAGCCATCTAATTAAAGAAGCTAGTTTTATACAAATTATTATCCTCAAGGTTATAGGATTTTTAGCTTTTTTATGATTAAGTAGAAAAGAGAGTATAGGAATCATGTTTAACTAAGTTATTTTAATGATCATTGACTTAAGTAGAAAGAATGATAGGCAAAAATGTATACAAAAAGAAGGATTTTATAAATTAATTATAAAAGATACAAACTTACTTTTTAAATTTCAAAGTATATATAATTTTATTGATTAGATAATATTTTAATCAAAGAGTTAAAATGATTAAAAAGGGGAATATTTATTCAAATACTTAAGAATGATAGGTATATTAGAATATGAGGGAAGATGTTACAGCTGAAAAAAATAGTAATATTATGATAGTTTCGGGTAGTTATAATTATATAATAAATATAATTGATAAGATAAGGGGTTTATTATAAATAATTAAGAAGCAAATAAGAATAAATGGTAGCATTATTGGAAACAAACGAAGATAAGGTTGAAGAAATAGATATTAATTAAAATAATGATGGGATTCATAGAAATCAGTTTAGCAATATATTATAAAGGGAGGAGTTGTAATAGTCATTCTGATCCAGATTCATTATAATTAATGCTTATGTAAAATAATGAAGAGGAGGAGAACTATTAACAATAGTAATAAAAACGATAATAATTTTAATAAAAATAAGAATAAAATTAATATCCATTTAATTTTGAAGATTAGGTAGGAGAAGATGATAATAATGAATATTAACATGATTTAAATGATGCTTAGATTGAAGAACAAGATTAATATTAAGAAGAAGATGGCGACTATAATATAAATGTTGATGAAGTTTTTGAAGAAGATAAAGATGATGAGAATGATTAATGTAGAAAGTAGAAAATAAAGGTAATTTAAAGTATCATTTTTATATTATTCACTATCATCAATAAGCAAATTATGTCTTATACATTTAAAGAAAGATCTGAATATAAAATCTATCTTTAAATAGTTGTATTCTATTTTTATCTCTATTATCATTTATAATATTATTGCTTTTGTTTCTAAATTTGGGCAGGTATCTTTCTTTTTGGTAAGTTATGCTC